AAGCAGCCCGAAGGATTCGAAGCTCCTGGAAAGGAACACTATGCCTGCAGATTGCTAAAGTCATTGTATGGACTTAAGCAATCCCCCCGACAGTGGTACAAAAGGTTTGATTCTTTTATGGTTTCACAAGGTTTTGACAGGAATTCATATGATTGCTGTGTGTATCATAGTAAGCTGGATAATGGTTCCATGATTTATCTTTTGTTATATGTTGATGACATGTTGGTTGCCACAAAGAATAAATCTGATATTGCTAGATTAAAGGAGATGCTTAACTCGGAGTTTGACATGAAAGACTTGGGTGCAGCTAGGAAGATTTTGGGTATGGAGATCTACAGGGATCGGGCTAGAGGTAAGCTTTTCTTGACTCAGAAAAGCTACATTGAAAAGATTCTGTCTCGTTTTGGAATGGAAAAATCGAAGCCTATAAGTACGCCAACTACTGTTAGTTGTAAGTTGTCTTTGTCTATGTCACCTCAATCAGAGGAGGAGTTGTCTTATATGTCTAGAGTTCCATATGCAAACGCGGTTGGTTGTTTGATGTATGCTATGGTCTGTACTAGGCCGGATATTGCGCATGCTGTTAGTGTTGTAAGCAGGTTTATGGCTCGACCTGGGAGGGAACACTGGCAAGGGGTGAAAAGGATTTTTCGCTACCTGAGAGGGACAGCTGATATTGGTCTTGTGTACGGGAATGGTAAGGAATGCTTGGTCACTGGGTACAGTGATTCTGATTATGCAGCTGATGTGGATACCAGGAGGTCTGTGACTGGTTATGTGTTCACTTTGGGTGGTTCTGTGGTTAGTTGGAAGTCTACATTGCAGTCATCAGTTACGTTGTCAACTACTGAAGCTGAGTATATGGCTCTAACTTCTGCAGCTAAGGAGTCTATTTGGCTCAAAGGCCTAGTAGGTGAACTGGGTATTGCACAGGATTTTGCTACAGTGTATTGTGATAGTCTAAGTGCGATTTGCTTAGCTAAAGATCAAGTACACCATGATCGGACGAAGCACATTGATGTCAGGTATCATTTCTTACGTACTGACAAGAGGATTAAGGTGAAGAAGATTGGGACTGCTGACAACCCGGCTGATTTCTTCACTAAGCCTGTTCCGTTTAGCAAGTTTAAACATTGCTTAGACTTGCTAAATATTGATTACTACGTGATGTAGTAGGCCCTGAGGGGCGAAGTTGGGGAGCTCCTGGTGTAGGTGTGTTGGCATTAAGGTGGAGCTTGCCCGGGGCTTGTGATGCAGGTGGAGCATTATGAGTTGTTATACTTGGAGACGAGTATGTGATGGGTCTTGGTTGAAGACTTATCGGGATGTATGGCTTATGCATGAGTCCTGCATCGGGTTTGGCTTGAGATGTTTTTTCACTATGTCTTGATGGGGTCGTTTGCTGACTACGAGTTCTCGTCAAGGTGGAGATTGTTGATAAGTATATTAGGTGACTCGTACTTCGTAGCTTTGTCCGCCCGATCGGGCGGACATTGCCCGGTCTGACCGGGCGGAAGAAGAAGAGGTGCCTGGCAAATTCGTTGAAGAAGCTGCTCTCGCGCCCGACCGGGCGAGCCTTCGCCCGACCGGGCGAGCCTTCGCCCGATCGGGCAGACCTTGCCCGGTCTGACCGGGCGGTGGGGGTTGGATACGTTGAAGCATTCGTATGGAGTCTTCTTCTCGCGCCCGATCGGGCAGACCTTGCCCGGTCTGACCGGGCGGAGAAGGAAAAATACGGAACGCGGATTTTGCGGTTTTAGGTTATCTTATTTTATTATCTTTTTGCCCAAGTATCTTTTAATTAGGGATTAATATAAAACCTCCCTAAAATCAGTATTAGGGTTAAGAGAGACAGAGTGAAAGCCGTTCTTGAGAAATACAAGAATCATCTTTGTAATCTTTGCAGTTTATAGTGAAATCATTCGATCTCGGTGCCCGTGGACGTAGCTATCACATCGATAGTGAACCACGTAAATTCTTGGTGTTGTTCTTATTGTTTGCATTGAATTTCTTTATTGTTTTCTTGTTTGTTTACGACCTTTGCTTCCGCTGTCGCACAACAATATGTATATGCATTATTGTTATGATGAAATGTTACTAATGTATATTCTAAAATGTACACAGTGTGTATATTATCTTTATCATTATCATGATAACTTTGATTAAATTCGTCTAAATGTGTATTTTATCCAAAACCTAAGTATAGCGTTCCCAATTTCGTAGCAAATTGCAGAGAGAGCGTGGCTTGAACTGGTGTCGTCGTGGCACAAACATAGCATAGACTAGCTTGGCTTGGGTTAGTTAGCGGTTTGCAGTTCTGTAAAACCAATAATAAATTCATCATAACACTAGCAAACCATGCAGCAGTACAACTAGCTAGGGTTTACAACTTCAAGGAAATTCATACACATAAAATTCCCTTTTGATAAGGAAAATAATTAATAATGCATACAAAATGGCTACATTATTGATGTATATTTATTTTATTTCCCTGTAAACTACTACGTAATTTATATGATCATTTATAGCCATGCAAAATCTGCTGACTCGTGCATGCATGCATGGATAATGAAACTTGAATGACAAACAATTCAACAGACTATTTTCCAGAATTTAGCGGTTAACTGGTGGACCTAGAGCTAAGCTAATGCCTATCTTATTATTATTAATTATTTTTTTTAATGAAGAGTATCTTATTAATAACTCAAAAGATTTACATAAAATTAGTGGCAGCCGAGAAAGAGACAATAATATGAGCCCCCACTACTTAAGTATAGCGAAATTAATCCTAACAAAGATGTGGGCCGCTGCTTGACCCCAAAATAATCTAACATGATAATGTTCGTTTATTCTTGTACGTGGTATATATATTATTATATCACAAAAATAAAACGGATGTTCAGTAAATTACTGAATATCCGTTATAAAGTGACAATAAAATGTGCAATAGTTACACTAAAACGCACAAAAGTTATTGTGACATATATAAGAGTTATTTATGTTTTATTGATAAATTTGACAAAAGTGACACTAAATCTGACAAAAGTGTACCCGATGTACAGTAAATTACTGAAAACCGGGTGTATACAAAAGTTTTCCTTATTATATTACCAAGGATAGTCAAAATTTCTTATATTAGACATCTTGAATAATTAATAGAACAATGAACACATCGATGAATGATCGTAGCAAAGTGCGTGGAAGATAAGATCATAAAGAGCTTGTTGATATGGGATCTTTTGGGATAGGGATGGAAGACATAAATTTGACGCTGAGATACATTTTGAGTTTGTCAATCCCTATAATTTGATGATAACTGATAACTGATAGCTTTATTATGATAAGGTGATTGTGTTTTATATAATAGACTTAAATTTTGAGAGAAATAGTACATAATAGAGAGAAAGAGGAATGTAATTTAAGGATGGAGGGAGGATGATTTTTGGTCTAAAGATTTAAATAAAATAAGGTTGATTTATCTACTATAACTATGTTGTATGTACTTCGTATTTACGTTTTAGTCTTTTAGATGAGGTGTTATGTGTAAACTAGTTTCTAATTATTTTTTTTCTCTGGGCTCCAAATAAAACATGACGAGAGAGGTATTTTACATTCTTGCTTGTCGATATATGATGCTCGATCATATGAGTCACATCACATGAACATACATATAGTTTAATCAGATTCACTATTTGGATACATAGCATCATGTAAACATTTTAATTAACTAAGTTAGTTGACATCCACACATCTCTCACATTTATTTCCGTATACTAAATTCTTCGGACTCAGACAAAACCGATTATGGTTACTCGTAAGTTTTTTGGCGACCTTATATATATCCAACAGATTGAATGACTGCGTATTAAATGCCATCAAAGTGGCAACCAAAGCCAGAGTATGAGAAAAATCGCGCGCGGTTTCATCGTGAGCAGTTGCAGCGCATGCATGCGGATAATCCTGTTATACATCATTAATCTGCCTCAGCAGTCAGCATGACCTGTTTTGGTGATTGCCTTGTCATTCCCTTTATCTATATTACCCCATTATAACTTATACTGTATGCTTTTTATCATAAAGTTTCATTTATCTATTATATAAATATATTTCTCTAGGACCATATATATAATTAGTTATGTGGTACGGTGTTTTAATAGCTGATAGGACCTTTATAGTAATTAGTTATATATGTGTACACAACTTGTTAAATTGATAGTTTAAAGGCAAAGTAGATGATTTCAATCACTCAAATGACCTTTTGAGGTCTTGTGAGGACGTTAGAAACACTTTATTTTCTATTTTTTTTTGTTCCAGAATCGCTGAAAATTGTCAAAAATTGAAGATAATAATATTATAATTTGTCCTTTAATATCATATTTGAAGATTTGGAATTTCATATCGAAAACTCAAGTGCGATGGTTGGAGATGTTTCTCGAAGTCATATAATATTGTTTAAAATTACATACATTCTCTAATTACTCACATAAAGACCCTGTGTATTTATTTATTTATTTATTTATTTATTTATTTTTTTAATAGAGACGTGTATTTATATATGTAACTAGTTAAAATACATATTCTTATTTTAATCATCTAGAAAGACCCATTTAGTTTTTGGTACAAGAATACAATATGAATACACTTAAGTAATGTACAACATACATATTATACATACATTGTCAATTTTGATACATACTTTATACAAACATACAGAGTACATCTAAATCTATAATTATTATTGTAAAAACCTTAGAGTGAAGAATTATTATAATCACGGTGCAAGCAATTTGTCAATCAATGCGGCTAATCTGACCACCAGAGTTTATCAACTTAATTTGTTTGCACCGAATAACGTTTTCAAATCTTAACTTAAAAATAAATTCATTATACGTTAACCTTATACAGTACAATTTTGTGGCTATAAATACCCTTTATTTGGTATACGTACATTCATGCAAATACTAGCTAGCTTTCTACTTATATTACAAGTATTTCTAAAGATGAAGATCAAATGCTTCAATTCTCTCTCTTTTGCCTTCCTTTTCTTGTCCTTTTCTCTTTTACTAAATCTTGCTACTCCTACTTTGTTGTTTCAGGTATGTTAAACACTTATCAAACCAATTAAGCATATTTACTACTCCGTACTAGATAGACATCAATCTACATTTTTATTATTCGACAAGCTTTCCTGTGTATAATTCTAACTACTTAATTTGTTGGAGGCTTGGAGGTTATTAGAGATCACATACACTCTGAGTCTATCTATCGATCTATCCAACTTTCTCTTAGGGTATTTCATATTTGGTGTATTACACTACATGTAGTGTTAACAAGACTTGATAAAAAAACAATGCTAAAGGAATTGTTTTTGTATCTGATTAGTGATAATGTGACATTATATTAACAATCTTAAGTTGATGAATTTTTTTAAAAATCCGTCTTAGGAGAATTATGTCTTAATCTTATATATAGTTTGTGTTACATTTTGGTTTTTAACTTCGAACTTTTTTCTAAACTAATTCTCCATTGTTATCAGGGATTCAATTGGGATTCATGCAATAAGCAAGGAAGTTTATATAGCTTTTTAAGCAACTCAATTGATGATTTGGCTAGAGCTGGAGTAACTCACGTGTGGCTTCCTCCGCCAAGCCATTCCGTTTCACCCCAAGGTAAATTTAGTTTTTTTTACAACTTTCTTTGTCCGAAATTAATACTCTTGTTGATGACGTAATTAAAATATATTCCGTATTAGCAAAATGTGACGTGACAAACGACTAAAGAGTATTAGCAAAATATTTTTAATTCACATTCCTTAAAATTTAATTATTCAAAAGATAATATTGTCTTCAACAGTTGACTTCCTTTTACTTTCTGCCTATTTGATGACATAGGGCATAAATTAAATACTCTGCAACACAATTGACAAGGCAAACACAATTCCTCTATGTGTGTGTTTGTGCACGCGCGTGCATTAAAAAAAAAAAAACAAATAAGGACAACCTAAACAATTATCGAGTAATTAAATACTTTTCTTAATTAATTACTAATGATATGTATAATTATTATTTCAGGGTATTTGCCTGGAAGATTATACGATCTCGATGCATCGAAATATGGTAATGAGATGGAATTAAAGACACTAAACAGCAATTTCCACCAAAAAGGGATCAAATGTGTTGCAGACATAGTCATCAATCACAGAACTGCTGAAAAACAGGATGGAAGAGGTATATACTGCATGTTCGAAGGAGGAACTCCAGATGATCGTTTAGATTGGGGTCCTTGGGCTATCTGCAGAGACGACACACAATACTCTGATGGTTCCGGTAACCTTGATACCGGGGATGGTTACGCTGCTGCCCCTGACATTGATCATCTTAATCCAAGAGTACAAAAGGAGCTTATAGATTGGATGAATTGGCTCAAAGCCGAAATTGGCTTTGATGGTTGGAGGCTTGATTTTGTTAAGGGATATTCTCCTAGCATAACAAAGTTGTACATGGAACGAACACAGCCTGATTTTGCTGTAGGAGAGTTGTGGGACTCGATTACTTATCTTAATGGTGCACCTGACTATAACCAGGACGCGCATAGAAGTGAGTTGGCTCGATGGGTGGAAGCCTCTGGTGGAGGAGTGGTGACCGCGTTTGATTTCACCACCAAAGGGATACTTCAGTACGCGGTACAAGGGCAGTGGTGGAGGATGAAGGATCCTTATGGAAGGCCTAGTGGACTTATTGGAATTTCACCGAAAAATGCTGTTACTTTCTTAGATAATCATGATACAGGTTCAAGTCAGAAGCTTTGGGCTTTTCCGTCTGATAAAGTTATGCAAGGATATGCTTACATTCTCACCCATCCAGGAATTCCATGCATAGTAAGTAACTAAATCCGAACAGAGGTAGTATAGTTTCGTAGTTAAAAAACTAAGTGACTATATTTTCACTAATTAACACTTATTTTTTATGTTGCAGTTCTATGATCATTTCTTTGATTGGGGATTAAAGGAAGAAATTATAGCATTGACATCCATAAGAACAAGGAACGCGATATCTGAAACAAGTAACGTCAATATACTCGCCTCTGATCCTGATCTATATGTGGCAATGGTAGGCGATAGGATCATAGTGAAGATTGGGTCAAGTATGGCAACGGGCAATTTTGTTCCGCCAAATTACAAAATTGTGACGCATGGAAACTGTTACTGTGTATGGGAGAAACAAGGCTAAGAATTAAAGTTTTCCGAAGATGTTACGTTACTTTTTTGTTAATCGATCAAATGTAACACAATTCATGAATTACAATGAAGCTTATGGGTTATGATAGTCTCTTTACACCTTCAAATAATTGACTAGATGTTTGCTGATAGATTTATTAGCTGTTACATTACCGCACCATATATACCGACTAACTAACAAAAGTGAGTAAAAACATAGCCCATTTGCCTCCGCTCATCGCCTATAATATTCAAATGATCAGCCAATGTAGCAATTATGACAGTTTTGGTACCATTTCCAGTTGTAATGGTAAGCACAATAACACTTCCCTGCTTCAGCTAGAGCAGGTCATAACTCATAAGGCTAGAGCCCTGGTCCGAAAAGTGGCCAGTACCACCCTAAGGCATTAAGTAGACAGTTGGAACTTTGGAAGATGGGGTCTAGGATTGCAAAGGTGAAACTAAAAATACAGTTTGTTCAGCAAAAAACGAAATTATCAACAAAAACTGGGCCAACCAAACCTGACCATACATGATTAGTTCTAGTTTTAGGCGTTTAGCTTAAGACATCCATTTGGTCCAAGTAAAACGGCTTCAGAACAGATACAAAAGCTTGAGAAAAATTAAATTCGGTACAATTAATAGCTTAGGACGAATTGACTATATCTTGAAGTTGTGACGTTTTAAGAAAAATAAAGGCAACTCAATTCATAACTCCCATAGACACATGTAACATATATTATTGAATCCATATCCGCCCAAACATACAGCTTTTCGGATGGAATCTATCTACTCGATTTATAACTTCCTCCTACTTGTCCTCAATGGCTGTCGAATGTGTAGGATAAACCTCATCTTATTAACAAATTTAAACCTGACTTGATAGACTGAACCCAACTCCAAGTAGAACCTGTACACGAGTCAAGTGACGTTTCATCTCTAAAACCACTTATCAACGCGTGAATAGATGAGTCTAAATTGATTTCATTGATATGTTGTACAAGAAGGTAGTCTGTACTACATATTTGGCTAAGCTTAGTGCTATTGGAGATATTAGGATCATAGTGAATTTCAATCTGTACCATAAGACAGTGACTCTGAGTACTGACAAGGGAGTGTAAATCCATAAGACAGTGCTAACAAGAAATAGGAATTTAGAAATAGCAGAAGCAACAAAATTGCTTGTAAAGATCATTACAAAGGCTTGCACTACCTAAACAAACTTACTGAAACTGTATATCCATATTACATATTTACACGACATGTTTTAAGCCAATGCAAAAGATCAATGCGGCTAATGGTTGTATCATATGTTTTACATGACAGATAGACTCGTACTTGATTGCCCAATCTGAATAATCCGTTATTACATAACTCATATCAAAATTGACCCTAGCTGACCAAACAAGATTGTATCGTGATAAACTAATCAACTTAAATCTGGAATATGACTCCAACAGCAACCACATTGGCTTAAATTGATCGATTACTAAACCAAATAGCTCTGCACCCTAACCAAATTCACCAAATGGAACTTGTATGATGAAAAATGAAAACTACTTATAAAAAAAAGAGTAATCAAAGCGCATTTGATTAGGAAATTAAAGAGCCCTCCTTTACATATAATCTCAGGTTTCCTGGCAAATATAGAAAGTACTAAACTACTAATCCATGACTATGATACACCCCCGTCTCTTACCATCTTACTATTCCCACTCTATCCGTCTACTAATGATTGCCAACAAAAGAGCTGTAAACATAAACATTTTTAAGAAAGACTTTGCTAAAAATAGGTCCTAACATATACTAAATCCTCCTCAAAAACCTAGTACAGAGTAGCGAATATTGTAACTAACCTAATTTAAAGTTTAAACTAACAAGAAACTTACTGCACAGATGGTCTGTTGCTAGAGAATTTACAAAGAAGAAGTTATATTTAGCTGTTCTGGGAAGCTGTCCTCTTAGGTATTGTCGTCATCAGTCTCTCTCAGGAGCATCTCCAGGTGCTTTCCTCGCACTCAGATTCCCTGGATGTGCCCAGATCCTCTCAAATTCTTCTGACAGTATTTTATCAGCTTTCACATCCTCTTCTCCTGCTTTAAGGTTCATTTTGCTGAGGGTGGAGAGTGATCTAGGGCTTCCTCCAGCAGCAGGGGAGAAACAGAAGCTTGGGGTAGCAAATGGTGAGCCATAAGGAGTATGTTGAATAGAGAAGGGGCTAGGTGACATGCGTTTTTGGATCGGGAGACCACCAAAACCTCCTCTACAGAAAAGAGATTTGGACTCTGAAGCTGATTGTTTAACAGCATCATCCACAAATAATAAATCGTCTATTCTAGCCATAATGTTAAATGCTAAGCTCTCCAAAACTCTTGAGTAGCTTTCTAGTATTGCTTGCCCAACATCCTGCACGACATAAATGCAAAATTTTGAGTACTTTCAATATTAGAAATGCATGCCTTCCAGCAATCACATGGCAAAAACTTTCATCACTTTGTTTAAGTATGAATTTTAAATCCAAGTAGGAACAACAATACGATATTACATCTGGGGTAATTAGCAATGATGCAGCAAATTATGGGGCATCGACAAAGTACCTTGTTAAACTGTATCTTGCTCATATCTAGAGCTGTTTGTGGAAGTACAGGGAACCGAAGCTTCAGGAACCTCAAAAGCGTTTCAGCACGTCGTGCAAGAACTTGATTCTTGTCATTATCGGATACAAGACCTTTGACCTTGCCACCCCAAGTTGCTCGTTTACTTCTAGACTGACCTGCAAGTCTTTTCTGATCTTTCAATCTCCAGACATGAACCGATGCCTCGATCCTATTGGCAACTTCCAGGATTTGATGTTCCGAAGACAAGTCAAGGCAATCAAGTAGGCAATCAGGTGTGAACAGCTCAGCAGTTACATAGCGGTATATGACCTCTCCTAGACAATCTTTTCCGTTCTGCCAAGGCAAGGTTTATTAATCAGTAAACACATTGCTACACAGGACGCATCAATCTCACAGAAAACCAAATTGCATAGAAAAAGACAGGAAATGTTGGACAATAACATTCAAATTTGGACGACAAGAGCACAGATTCTAGCAGCAGAATTAATACCACTTCTCGGTCACAGAAAAACAGACAAAGGAGGGTAAATTTACAAAACTCTACAGACTGATATCACTACCAATAAAAGCAATAACTTTCACTCAGACGAAATACAAGCACAAGGTATAAATACACATTGTACTGGACTGATCAAGGGAACAGTTTAGTGCTTGTGTATTCAAATTTAGTTGCAGCAGCCAACTGAATGACAATGAAGATTTAAATACATATATACAAGCATCATTACACCTATATCAGGCAACAATGGTAGTAATAAGCTTCTCACCTTAGGCAAAGACTCCAAATAAACATCAGGAATCTCCATCTCAGCAATGACACTGGTATTAATAGCCATAGCAGCCTTGAGAATCTGATTAGTACAATCCCTACACTGCTGCAACCTCTTCCTAGCATCCTCAGACAACCCACGAGGCGGAACTTTCGGACAAGGCAACCACCACTTCTCCTCCTGTCTAACAGAAGGCCGACCATTAGACACCGCTGTTTTAAGAGGATCCCGATCATCACTCTCTCGGTCAGCATACGAAAACTCAGTCTCCTTAAACCCTTCAAGCATACTAAGCAACATTGCATCCAGTTTCTTAAGAGCAGGCAGATTCACATACAAATCCGACCTCGGCCTCGTTGCCATGACCTCAAACGAACCCCCACCAGGAAACTCTTGTATCGACGGGACTAATTCAACAATCGAGTCACTCACACATAACAACCACTCCATTTCTCTGCACCACATCTTCTTCCTCTGCGACGCCAACGGCTCTAATCTCCATAACTCCCCAAATACAGTAGCTACCCAATTTCAACAAACAAACCAAAATCAGACTAAAAATTCACCAAAATAGTACTAGACAACAAAAATATCAAAAAATGTCAAATAAAACAAAGTATAGAATGTAAGTAATTATACCAGCAAGATTGGTAATTGCATTTGAGATAGCAAGAGCAGTACAAACTCCCTTTCCACCACCAGACATGTCCTCTCCCAACAACAACTTTGCAAATCTCTCCTTCATCAACTCTACCTCTGTACACATCAAACAAACACAAAACCCAAAAAAAACCCAGAAATTATTATTTAATTTTTTTCAGATATACATAGAAACAGTCAATATAATGAAAAAAAAATAATCATAAAATATGCTCAAAATGGAAATAAACACAATTTATCAATACTTTGACTTATTACTTATTACCCATAGATTAAGCCACAGATTTATAATACAAGGTCACCATTTTTTCACTGACCCAAAAAAAAAGACAAAAAAATAAAAAGAAAATGACATTATTATGATAAATCCAATCAGTCTCAATTCGCAGAAATTTCGCCATAGGTATATCCAATTTTTTAAAAAAATAAATAAATAAAATTATAGCCGACACATTAAACTGAATTTTTTCCCAAAAAAAGCAACCCAAAACACAAAATTAGAAATGTCATTATACTACTATAGTAAAATTTTATACAAAAAATAAAATAAAAACAGAGATCCAAAAAAAGGGAATGTGGGTATATATTATAAATATTTACCGGAAAAATCGGAGTCGTTGGATTGAGGGAGTTTGATGTCATCCCAAAGAACGGCGTCTCTACCGGAGATAACCGGAAAAGCGAAATGAGTAGCGGCGAAGTTGAAGTTTCCGGGGTGTCGGAGAGCAGGGGAAGAGGTGGAGGTAGAAGGAGCAGCATCAGGGTCAAAACGAAGGAGAGAGAAACTACTAGAACTTTCAGATTCACTAACATCTGCACTCAAACAGTAGCTACCACCACCTCTATCGCTTTGTTGGTCGTATTGATCGTCTTCTGAAGAAACACTACCCATTGATGAAGATTGAATCTGGGAATGAAGGGTTGAATGGTGGAGATCTGTTATTGCATTGTGGATTGAAAGAGAGGGAATGTAGATGGTTGTTGTTGTTGTTGCGGAAGGATGAAGGAGTGATAATGGAGGAAGAGAGAGAAAGTGAAAGTGGGGACCAGAGAGAGAAAGAGAAGAAAGAGAGAATGTGGTTTTTTTTACGGAGTATTCGTAATAATATGACAAGAGGAGAGAGAAAGAAAGATGCTTAAGGTGCCCGACACAGACACTGTGGTTTCCTCTTGGTTTTTGATAAGGGCTTTTTCACTTTTTTTTTTTTGTTGTTTTTTTTTCTTTTTTTTTTTTTGGGTGAGTAAATTTTTTTTGTTTTGTTTACAATAGGAGTACTATTTTAAGTTTTTAAACTCTTGTCAAAAAAAAAAAAAAAATTTGGACATTATGTTTTATCCTAACCTAACATAATGTCGTCAAATTGAGGATACTCAAAGCTTGTTTTCATATGATTATTTCCAGTTTAGTTCAACTCTAATAAATCCAGTTTAACTCCTAATTTCCTTCTCTTATAAAATATTCATTTTAGTTCAGCTAAATTCAGTCAATGAGAACAACTCCTCACTTCCAAAAAACATTAAAAAAAATGAGGAACTTAAAGAGCCAAATGTTTTAATCTGTTTTTTTAGTATTTATTAAAGGGTTGGCTGTTTGAAATCCTCTGAACACGAAAAGTTATCAATTATAATGAGCCTTAATCCTTTGTGTTAATTTCATACTATAGTACTTCGTATATGATCATATTTCATACTATGGTATACAAACATATTCATTGAACTCATTCTATTTCTATTTAATGATTCACTATCATAAATATTATCTGTTTAGATTTACAACATAAATGGAATAGATTTGTTTAAATTAATACAAAGTAAAATCAAAGATTGTACCAGCTCATAACAGCATTGTCATGGAGATTTCTAAACCATAAATAGGAAGCTATATACTCAAATATATGGTCATATGTATATGAAATTACGTTTATATAATCACTTTCAAAGCAAAAATTGTACATTGCACAAGTTTACAACTAGCTTAGTTTCCTCTATTTGGAATTGATTGACATAATTTACACCTAGCTACAATGTATCTAAGGGCTTAAGGTTAAATTGATCATATGATTTTTTGGTGCACTAAAATTGATCCTATTATGTGACTATAGGCTCGTCCCATGAGGTCGTATATACTTGATTCGGACTAATTACTTTGTATTTACTATTGAGAACGTGTTAACTTCTGACACATACCGTAGCCTAAAAGTCATTTATAATTGTTGGACTACTGTTTACCATATCCCTCTGAATTAGTTTGATGTCACAATCTTTTTATTTTTCTTACCAAAAAATGGGGAAATTGGCAAGATAAGCTCAAATCACAATGGCGCTAGCTCTAACAAAGAAGAAAAAAAAGCAGACAAAGAAGAAAGCAATAAAACAACGTATGGCCCAGAAATAGGCACAAAAAATTGATGCCGATGATAAGGTAATAGTATAACTTTATATGGTCTATTAAACTGGCCTTGGTATTCGGGAACAAGAGTAGAAAAACCCACTTATTAAACCAATAACAAATGTCAGCAAAATCCTTTATTTGCATAATTAATATAAGTTTATTCCTGGTACTTTTTAATTAAGCTGAAACCGGCCGTATTACAACTTTTACGACATTTTATTATCTCCTACTATTAAAATGATGAGATCAAGCATTTTTATTGTAGTTTTCTTATTAGCTCTATTAGGAAAATAATTAAAATTAGCAAAAGACAATTACGAGTTTATTATTTTGACTAAAGTAACAATTAATTATGTTTAGAGAAACCCCTATTAGGATTAGAATTGGTATTAGCTAGGCATGGTATGGAGCCCACCATTACAGTGCATGCATGGGGATGTGGGCCGGTGGAATTCCTTTATTTTTAATGTTTTTTTAGAGGGAGGAAGAAGAACAAGGGGTAACGAATGATAATAAAGTAACAACATGATGATAGCGTAACGTTTTTTTTGTTAACTGTATAGTATAGAACTATAGAGTATAGACTAGTATTCTACCAAGTAGCAACTATGGCCTAATTATGGCATTATGATATGAAGCATTGAATTGTTGAAGTATGAACGTATGGAGGAATTACAATATGTCTACTTCTGAGCATCGTAGTAGATACACAAGTCTTGTGACTTTTGAATTGTGACTAAAATTTTGACTTGATTTGTTGTAAACCAACCAAACTAAAGGCATATTTTGATTGACTGAATTGAGTTGAGTTAAACTGAACTGAACTTATTAGAGTAGAACTGAACTGAAATTAATAGATCTGAATTGAAGTGAATATTTTATAAGAGAAGGAAATTAGGAGTTGAACTGCAATGAATTGAACTTATTAGAGTTGAACTGAACTGAACTTATTTGAGCTGAACTGAACTGAACTTATTTGAGCTGAACTGAACTGAACTTATTTGAGCTGAACTGAACTGAAATGAAAATAATCGTATCAGAATAGACCCTAACTCGATTAACCAATTCTTTGATATTGATATCATGCATACATACTTGTAAGTTGTAAATGCGAACAGGTTTCCCAATCAAATACCCCAAATACTAATGATCGAGGAAGAAAATGACCTGCGAACAGGTTTCCCAATCAAATACCCCAAATACTAATGATCAAGTAAGAAAATGACCTACTACGTACAAAATTGATTGATTTTTATGAGTAACAAATTAAATAAATGCACGGAACGAAACAAATAAGAGGGAGAAAAAAGTCTTTTTAAAACTCTTACATTTTCATTATCTTTTTTTTTTTTTTTTTTTTTTTTTGTTTGGGTGTTTAGAAAATCATAAGGTCGAGGTGAGAATCAATCCAAACTTACCTAAAATCGGGAGGGTAGCTCTAACTTTTTTTTTTTTTTTTTGAAACAAGCTCTAATTACCTTAGCTATCCCTCACTCTTATTGTCATTATATGGTTTAATCATGAAATTAAATCATTTTTACCTAACTCTCTTTCTTTTTATTTGAAATAGGTGCAGGATAATTATTAATTCAGGTTTTATTAGAGAGGTAACAAGTTGGTGGAAACCATTACCTCTATGTTATTGTAATTGTTATCCAAACATTATAACCAAACACTTGGTAACTCAGTAAGATTAAGGTCCTGTTCACATTTACTAAACTGAACTGATTGGAGTTGAACTGAAGTAAAATGAATATTTTATGAGAGAGAGAAATTAGAATCTGAACTGAACTGATTGGAGCTAAACTGAACTGAAATTAAGTAAATGTGAACAGACCCTAAATGACTAATGATTTAATTGAAGGGTAATGATATATGTAGCCCTAAGGGTTATATATAAGCATTAAATATACTTTCGAAAATGGAATTAAGTTGAAAGTTCATGACCAAATCACGCACATATTAGTGTAACAAATGTTAATTATCCTTAACATTTCATTTTTTATCTTCTTATACATATCCCTTAGACCCATGTTTATTACGAAGTATTTTTCTAATTGAATTTATTTCCATTCCAAAAAAAAAAAAAAAAAAAAAATACTCAAACATGTTATAAAGCGTCATTTTAAAAATTGTTTTCAAAGTAGGTAATACGAGTACTCCTAGTCCGTATATGATAATCACATACATAGTACTCTGCATTGAGTACGTTATTTTAAAAGGAATAATCATAATCACCACCTAATTTATATTCTAGGGGCGTGTATTTAGAAGAAAGGACTATTAATAATATTGACCAAATTAATCAAGAAATTAAATAGGGAGTTGCACGAATTGATTAGAAGTAATTGCCCATTTATTTCATTTTGAGTGCAATTTTAAATTAAATTTCCTCTGTTGGTCAAATTAATTTCATAAATTTTGTGCCCTTTAAGAAATTCACACAAAAAGTCTTGAAATAGAACGTCCAAAATTTCTTCAAACCCATAATAATGACTGTTTTCGACATTTGAGCTCAAAAAACCTGCTAAAATTATGGACAGAGAGAATCAAATCATTTTCACATATGAGGGAGATTTTTTTTTTTAAAAGGTATTGTAGGATTTTGATTGCGTGTTTTCTGAATTGGAATAATGCCATTTTAGTGAATTTGGGAAGCTTTTTTGGGTTTGAAAATTTTGGAGCATCTCATTGATTTCTTTACCCTAAGTCAGTAAATACTATCAAATTTATTTATTTTTGGTAGTAAAATAAAGTAAGCTAGGATTTTCTTTAATATCCACGTTTTGGTTTGTGATTGGTTATGATTCTTTCATCCATAATTTTAATTTTTTATTTGAAGCCACCAAATTCATTGATCCATTTCGATATTTTCAATTGATTCCTTGTTTGAATTTTTTTGGTGCGGTTTGTGTTTATAAAATTAACAAAGGTAAAGCTATAACAAGTAGTGGTAGAATCCATTGGGATGAAGAAAAGTGAGAAAGTACATAGGTTAGCCTAGTCTTTTTGTGAAAATGTGAAATGATCCAAATGCTCATCTTGTTTTTTCAAAAAAAAAAAAAAAAAAGATTGCATGTTGTGAAATTTTCATAGTCAATAACGACAATAACTCAATAATAATTTTATAAAATTAAGATATACAACCAAAAGTTACACTAAGGGCATGCTCTCTTGCGTTGAAATTTAGTTCAGTTCAATTCAGCTCAGTTCAATTCAGTTCAGTTCAGCTCCTAATTTCCTTCTCTTATAAAATATTCATTTCATTTCAATTCAATTTAGCTCAGCTGAGTTCAGTCAATGAAAACAGACCCTAATTTAAGCTTTGAAACACTCGTATATAAACCTTGCCTTTTGAAAATAATAACAGGAGCTAACTCATTACTCATTAATTCATTACAATACATTTTAACATCATACCACATGTTCGTTAAAAAAAAGAAAAAAAAAAAAAAAAAAACGGTGACAATTCACAAAAAGGGTGAAAAGCAAGTTTAAGCACACGATTTAATCTGTAGAGGGTGACGAGTTGGATGTATCAAGGCCGTTAATAGCAACAACATAAAGTCCTTAAATTTATGATGACTGCCTACTGCCTCCTGCTCGCTTGTTAATGATACATGTGCATGATTGCGCCATCTCATCTCAACTGTTGTACACTCTGCTCTAGACTACCATCTTTCCTTTTTTTTTT